CTCCCCTGGGCTCCCCACGGATTCCCTCTGCTCCCCACGGATCCCCTCTGCTCCCCACAGCTTCCCTACAGCTCCCCACAGTTCCCCTGGGCTCCTGGCAACAGCAATTTTATCCCAGCACAAACCACCCAACCTTTGTCTGGCCAGGATATCACCACCTTGCCTGTGCATCAGAGTCTCCCCAAGCCTGACCCATCTCATTCCTTCCCCTTTTGCTCCCACAGGCTGCAAATGACTAGAGCTGAGTGGCCAGGAATGTTGTTAGAGGTGCAGAATTCCTTTTGCTCTGCTCTACCACACCTGCACATTTCCAGGTACCTGCTGGGAGGGACCTGCCTCCTCCACAGCACTGCCCACCCCCAGGAATGCTTGCTCACCCTTTGTCCCCCAAACCTGTCACCTGCTGAAGGATTTCAGGAATTTCACCAGACTTGGGCATTTCTCCTCTTACTCGTGTTTTCAAAACCTGCATTGCTGAGCACTGAGGCTCCATCTGCTCATGGAGTTATTGTCCTCATGACCTCACCCTGGGCTCTCCCTCAATACAGTGACTGTAACTGGGGGGGGGTAAATGGATTTAAAAACAAAGTCAAAAACACTTGTCCCAACCTTATTTTTTTTTTTAAGCCAGCAGAGATGTCTTTGGTGTTCTAGGTCCTGTGTCATCCTCTTCCAGCACATTAAATGAAAAGTCACTCAAGCTCTGTGGGACAATCAAAGCCCTTATTAATGCTGAGGACACAGGGTTTGTAACTCCACCTCTCTCCTGGAGGGAAGCAGACTGCAGGAGCCAGCCTGGCCTTTTCCATGTTTCGTTGTGTTTTTTTTGTTAAACTACCTAATGTCTTTATCTACCTCAAGGCCTTGTACTTCTGTAGAAGAAACAGCTCAAATTCTAGCATCGTGTAACATGTAACAAAAGACCTGAGACAGCCTCGGGCTTTTATCAGTGGGAACAAACTCTGTTTATGGAGAGGGTGTGGGTGCAGCTCAGCACATCAGGGCACAATCCTTTAAAGATGAACAGCAGGATCAGCAAAGGGAAGGTGTTCCCCTCTCTGAGTCACTGGGTTTGATGTGCACATTGTTCAGCACAGGGAGGTATGTCTGGGTTTGCCTTCCTGCTCTGGAGTGCATCAGTGGGAATCCCACATCTCCCCATTTCAGCCCCTCCACCAGCCACACTGCAGCCCCCCTGCTGGGAAACCTCCCCCCCAGGGAATTCATGAAGAGGGGCTGATGGCAGGCACAGAATCATGGAATCCCAGACTGGTTTGGGTTGGAGGGATCTTAATGACCAGCTACTTCGACCCCCCTGCACGGGCAGGGACACCTCCCACCAGCCCAGGTTGCTCCAAGCCCCATCCAACCTGCCCTTCAACACCCCCAGGGATGGGGCAGCCACAGCTTCCCTGGGCAACCTGGGCCAGGGTCCCACCCCCCTCACACTCCAGAATTTCCTCCTCATGTCCAACCTCAATCTCCCTCTTCCAGTTTAAAGCCATCAGCCACTGTCCTCTCACTACACACCCCCTGGCCAGGCCATCAGCACAGAACACCTCAATAAACCCTCCCAGGCCCCCCCTTGCCCTGAGGAGCCCTGTTCACACAGAAAAATGAAACTCAGTGTATGCCTAAGCTCATGCTCAAGAGGATGTAGTTTCCTTTCCTCCCCTAGTGCCATCTACCCCGTGGGACACCCAGCAGCATCTTGCTGCTCCCCCAGCATTCCTGGATAGCCCTTCCCCAGAACTGCACCACACACACAAAGCCCCCAGGCCAGATCCTGGCCAACAGAAGTGACCAGCTCCAGTAATGATGTGGGAGTGGCTGGACTGGCCCTCCCTGCACACCTAGAAATGGAAAAGTGTTTCCTGCACATTATGGAGCAGTTTCCTTCATGCCAACAGGATCCCCAGGGGCACAGGATATCTCGGCCACTGCTGCAAGACCTGAAGACAATTTTAACCACGGAATGACAACAGTTTCCATTTTGGTCAACATCTTTAATTTATTTAGATATTCTCTACATTAAAGTATTTTCATGCCAACACTTCCAACCTCCCATCCCCACCTCAAGAAAAATAGACTTGACACAGCTTTAGGGTGGAATGCACTGGAATAAAGTTGCTATTGCGTCCAAGTTACAGAGAACACCGATCAAACCACAGAGAGAACTGCACAGAGGACACCAGGGAAAGCTGGAATTAGCACATCATTCCAGTCATGTTAGCACCTTCCCAGACAAGCACTGGAGGCGTTCAGAGAGGTGCAACATGCTTTGGTTAGCTGGACCAGAGCTTAGACTGCATGAAGCCTGGGAAAAAGCACAGCAGGTGCCAGCACTGGGCTCGGAGCCTCGTCTGAACCGACTGGAACAGAACACGGAGCTGAGTAGCCAAGTCTGCAGTGTTTGGGAATGCTGAGTTCTCCTGGTTAGCCAAGTCTGTGCCTGGAGTGCAAACCACAACAGTTTCAAACATGACTCGGGCCCCAGTGCCACCTAGAGCATGGCTTGTAACAGAATTCAAAATATCCATTCCCACACGGAGTCACTTTCTCCTGCTGCACCGTGTGGTACAAGACGTTCTGCAGAAGCTGCACCTCCCACCAGCACAACAGTGTCAGGTACAAGAGTTTCTTCACATCTCAAACCCCTTCAGTAGCAGCACAAAGCCTTGAATCACCTACTGCTTTGCCCATGGGGACACTACTGATCTCAGGATGCTTTAGCTGCTGTGCTGTGTCTCTGGCATTTCCAGGATGGAAAGAAAAACAACAACAAAAAAAGGGTACGTAGGAAGTTTACTCTGCAAACTTCAACTATAAACTTGGAATTCTGTAATTAATGATCATGCTACCTTCAAGGCAGCAACCCACTGGCCTGTGACCTCTGAAAAGGCCCTCTGCTAAGCACCTGCTAGTGTTCTCAGCTGATGCCTACATTTAAGAATCTGAAGCCATAGTCTAAAAATCAGTGACTTGCACTTCTCAGGAAGGTGAGTTGTTCACGTATCTCACTTCCCTTATCAGCCTGGTCTTCAGGCACAGCAGCAGGACAGCAAAGTGCCATCTGTTCCAGCAGCAGCACAGCAACTGCCCATCATCACACTGAGCAGATGCTTTGGACAAAGTAGTCAACATTTGCTCTTTCATGCTTTCTAAACCACGTGCTTCTGGTTTGAAAGGAAAGATCTGCAATTTCTGGTCACCCTCAGACATTCCCTTGAAATGCCTACAAAAGGTCCAGTTAAAAAAAAAATAAAATCATCAAGCTTGGTGGTAACTATTGCACATTTGTAAGAGCTGGCCTCAAGATTTTCCTGAAGATTCAGGCTTTGGAAGAAGGGATATTTTAAAAACTGGTATCAGTGTACATTGGAACACTGGCACAAATGTCACCTATTCTTGGTTTTAATTGTAAGGGCGACAAGTAAACACCAACACATGGAAAAAAGAAAAAGAAAACAAAGAGCATTTCACAGAGCAAGGAGTTAGAAACCAAGCCGGGGCTAGTGCTTTGCAGTGGAATCTCGAGGATAGAACTCAGCCAGTGTTGTCTGAGGAATTCTCTTCAGCATCTCCTTGGGGAAGATCCGCAGAAGCTGCCACCCAATGTCCAAGGTCTCGTAAACAGTGCGGTTTTCATAAGGACCTGCAGAGAGCAGGAGAGTGTCTCACCACCAGGGGAGATGTGAGAACAAGACCTTCTAGATCATGTTCCTGCCACAGACACTTACCCTGAGCAATGAAGTTCTTCTCAAACTTCTGCAGAAACTCCAGATAAAGGAGATCATCTGAGGTAAGAGCTTCCTCACCAACCACAGCCTTCATGGCCTGCACGTCCTTCCCGATGGCGTAGCAGGCGTACTGGGAGGGACAGAAACCACAGGGCTTTTACACTGGTCACAGAACCACCCTCACAGAAACATCAGGGACCTCTGGAGATCACCTAGTCCAACCCCCTGCTAGAGCAGGATCACCTGCAGTAGATCCCACAGGAACATGTCCACATGGCTCTTGAAAGTCTCCAGAGAGACTCCACAGCCTCCCTGGGCAGCCTGGCCCAGGGCTCTGTCACCCTCACAGTAGACAAGTTTCTCCTCATGTTGAGGTGGAAGTTCCTGTGTTCCAGTTTGTGTCCACTGTCCCTCATCCTATCACAGGACACCACTGAGAAGAGACTGGCCCCTCCTTCTTGACACCCACCTTTCAGATATTCATGAACATTAGTAAGATCCCCTCTCAGTCTTCTCTTCTCCAACCTGAACAGCCCCAGGTCTTTCCTCACCAGGTAGGTGTTTCAGTCCCCTAGTCATCCTCATAGTCCTCCCTTGGACTCTCTCCAGTAAAACCCTGTCCCTCTTGAACTGGGGAGCCCAGAAACGGACACAATACTCCATGTGGGGTCACCCTAGGGCAGAACAGAGGGAGAGGAGAGCCTGCCTTGACCTGCTGGCTACTCTTCTCAATGCACCCCAGGATTCCATGGGCCCTGTTGGCCACAAAATCCCAGCCCCAAGGAGGACACTGCCTGACCAGGTGCCCAACACCCCAAACAAAAGCTTTCACTAAACACTCAAAGCTTTAAATCTGCCTCCAGAGTGCTCTGGATTGCAGCTGTCTGGCTTGCACTCTGCAGACTGTTCAGTGAAAGGTGTATTTGAAATCTCTGCTCCTCTAAAGAGGTTTTTTTACCTACCAGTTGGTTGGATACATCTGCATGATCCTTCCTGGTCATGCCCTCTCCAATAGCTGACTTCATCAGTCGAGACAAGGAGGGCAAGACATTAATGGGTGGGTAAATCTGGAGGGAAAAAGAGAGCCAAGAATTTCAACATTAATACTTCAAAGAGTACAGAGTAATCAGAAATATGTTCTAGAGTAATCAGAAATATGTTCTAGAGTAATCAGAAATATGTTCTCTGTTATGCAGCTGCCTGTCCACATAGATCTGTCCCTCAGTGATGTATCCAGTCAAGTCAGGGATAGGGTGAGTAATATCTGTGGAAAAAAATGGGTTGACACTTTTCAGAAATATGTTCTAGAGTAATCAGAAATATGTTCCAAGCAGTGTGGCACACACCTGTCTGTTATGCAGCTGCCTGTCCACATAGATCTGTCCCTCAGTGATGTATCCAGTCAAGTCAGGGATAGGGTGAGTAATATCTGTGGAAAAAAATGGGTTGACACTTTTCAGAGCCTTTGTATCGATTTCTAGCAGGGATGTGGCAGCTCTGTGCAGATCCAACACCGCCAGTTAGAAGCCCCATACATCCCCCAGTGCTTTCTGACACAAGGATTAGAGCTGTGCTGACAGAGGGCTGGAGAACAGACCTGAAGTCTGCAGTGGGCCAAGCATTTCTATGAGCAATACAGGGTGAAAAGGCAGCCAAGAGCTGCAATACTCAAACGAAAACCTGAAGGGCACAGGACCTTCTGTCTGGCTGTGTTCCCAAAATGAGGAAGCTTGCTCTCAAATGAGTTCTTTAAAGCACTAATTTATTAAAAATACTTGATAACTCACCATCATTGGGCATGGTAAGAATAGGGATCTGAGTAATGGAACCATTCCTGCCTTCCACACGCCCAGCACGCTCATAAATGGTGGCCAAGTCAGTGTACATGTAGCCTGGGAAACCACGGCGACCAGGGACCTCCTCTCTGGCTGCTGAGACCTGGGGAAACCCAGAAAAACGTTTCTAAGAAGTCAGATCATTCCCACACACCCACTGTGTCCCCTAGCTGACCTACACTAGAGACAAAGTACTTCTTATCATGGCATCATGGCATGGTTTGGGTGGGAAGGGACCTGAAAGATCCTCCAGATCCAACCCCCTGCATGGGCAGGGACACCTCATCCATTCCCCCTCATTCCATCCATGCTTGTCCAAAGTCTCTCCCCAGGTTTCCTGGAGCCCCTTCAGAAACTGGAAGGTGCTCTAAGGTCTCCCCAGAGCCTTCTCCTGCAGGTGGTAACAAAATGCAGCTAGAAAGACCGTAAAAGAAAAGTTTTTCACCATAGCTATAAATGACCAGAGAAGATGCCAAGACAAATCAGGAACTATCACCTCCAGCTGAATGCCACTTATCAAACAAGTGTGGCTACCACAGCACTAACAGCTGTTTGACTGCTGAACATAATCCCAGACCATCAATGAATACCTGAAGCCTCACTGGCTACCTAAGAACATTGTTAACGACTATTACAGCACAAGTTAATTAATCCCAACCTCTCGCAGAGCTTCAGCATAGGAGCTCATGTCTGTCAGAATGACCAGCACGTGCTTCTCACACTGATATGCCAGGAACTCTGCTGTGGTGAGAGCCAGACGAGGAGTGATGATGCGCTCGATGCTGGAAGGGAACAGCACAGAACTATCAATGGCCAGGGCTTTCAGGCTGCAACATGTCACCAGCACTTCAACCCTCTCTACATGTGCTGTGGGCACCCACTGCAGCACCAGTTTGTGTTCAACTTCACTGACAGTAATAGAATCCAGACTGGTTTGGGTGGGAAGGGACCTGAAAAATCATCTAGATCCAACCCTCCTGAACAGGCAGGGACACCTCCCAGCATCCCAGGCTGCTCCAAGCCCCATCCAACCTGCCCTTCAACACCCCCAGGGATGGGGCAGCCACAGCTTCCCTGGGCAACCTGGGCCAGGCTCTCATCACCCTCACACTCCAGAATTTCCTCCTCGTGTCCAACCTCAATCTCCCTCTTCCAGTTTCAATCCATTCCCCCTCATCCCATCCCTCCTTGCCCTTGTCCCAAGTCCCTCCCCAGCTTTCCTGGAGCCCCTTCAGGCACTGGAAGCTGCTCTGAGGTCTCCCTGGAGCCTTCTCTTCTCCAGGCTGAACACCCCAACTCTCCCAGCCTGGCTCCAGAGCAGAGCTGCTCCAGCCCCAGCCCTTGGATCATCTCTGTGGCCCCCTCTGGACTCTCTCCAGGAGCTCCACAACCTTCTGATGTTGGAGGCTCCAGAATTGCACACAGTGCTCCACGTGGGGAATGCCAACATCAAATGCCAAGTTAAGTGCCACAAAAGTGCCAACATCAGTGACAGCTGCTGCAGGACACCAGTGAGGCTTCAGCTTCCAGCTCACTTATCCCACTGTAACTACTTACGTGGGATCATTGGCCAAATTCAGGAACAGACACACATTGTCCATGGATCCATTCTCCTCAAAGTCTGATTTGAAAAACCGAGCAGTTTCCATGTTCACCTAAATCACAACATCAAGGCATCAGTCAGTGCCAGAGCAGATTTTAACATGCTACACTTGCCATTATATTAAGGTCCAAACACCTCATTAATAATCCCCAAGTAAAGCTCTTTGTATCATGAAGAACCCCCCACATTCCTAACAGAATGAGTTATTTCTAGAATCCCAGGTCAGAAATTTTAGGTTTCAGATCCTCTCTCCTGCTCAGACACTTGGGTACAGCACTTCTGGAGTTGTCAGCCAGCCAGCTCATCTAGCACTCCCTACTTAGAATTCTTTCAAAGCAGGAAGGTTCAGCTGCTCTCAGCATTGCCTCACTTATTACTCCAGCATCACTCTCCTCCAGTAAGACTTACACCCATAGCAGCAAACACGATGGCAAAGTTCTCTTCAGTGTAGTCCATCACATCTTTGGATTTCTTGACCAAGCCAGCCTGGCGACAGATCTGAGCTGCAATCTAGGGAAGAGAATGATTCAGTCCATCAATGTGATGCTGTTCCACAGATCAGCATCTAACCTGGTTTAGTTTTTAACCCTAGTGACATGCAAGCCACTAAATTAGACTCACCTCGTTGTGGGGCAAGCCAGCAGCTGAGAAGATGGGGATTTTCTGCCCCCTGGCAATACTGTTCATCCCATCTATGGCTGAAATCCCAGTCTGGATCATCTCCTCGGGATAGATGCGGCACTGGGGGTTGATGGGCTGACCTGGTTGATTTTCTCTTCTCCAGGCTGAACACCCCAACTCTCCCAGCCTGGCTCCAGAGCAGAGCTGCTCCAGCCCCAGCCCTTGGATCATCTCTGTGGCCCCCTCTGGACTCTCTCCAGGAGCTCCACAACCTTCTGATGTTGGAGGCTCCAGAATTGCACACAGTGCTCCACGTGGGGAATGCCAACATCAAATGCCAAGTTAAGTGCCACAAAAGTGCCAACATCAGTGACAGCTGCTGCAGGACACCAGTGAGGTTTCAGCTTCCAGCTCACTTATCCCACTGTAACTACTTACGTGGGATCATTGGCCAAATTCAGGAACAGACACACATTGTCCATGGATCCATTCTCCTCAAAGTCTGATTTGAAAAACCGAGCAGTTTCCATGTTCACCTAAATCACAACATCAAGGCATCAGTCAGTGCCAGAGCAGATTTTAACATGCTACACTTGCCATTATATTAAGGTCCAAACACCTCATTAATAATCCCCAAGTAAAGCTCTTTGTATCATGAAGAACCCCCCACATTCCTAACAGAATGAGTTATTTCTAGAATCCCAGGTCAGAAATTTTAGGTTTCAATCCTCTCTCCTGCTCAGACACTTGGGTACAGCACTTCTGGAGTTGTCAGCCAGCCAGCTCATCTAGCACTCCCTACTTAGAATTCTTTCAAAGCAGGAAGGTTCAGCTGCTCTCAGCATTGCCTCACTTATTACTCCAGCATCACTCTCCTCCAGTAAGACTTACACCCATAGCAGCAAACACGATGGCAAAGTTCTCTTCAGTGTAGTCCATCACATCTTTGGATTTCTTGACCAAGCCAGCCTGGCGACAGATCTGAGCTGCAATCTAGGGAAGAGAATGATTCAGTCCATCAATGTGATGCTGTTCCACAGATCAGCATCTAACCTGGTTTAGTTTTTAACCCTAGTGACATGCAAGCCACTAAATTAGACTCACCTCGTTGTGGGGCAAGCCAGCAGCTGAGAAGATGGGGATTTTCTGCCCCCTGGCAATACTGTTCATCCCATCTATGGCTGAAATCCCAGTCTGGATCATCTCCTCGGGATAGATGCGGCACTGGGGGTTGATGGGCTGACCTGGTTGATTTTTTAAGAGAACAAATGTTGGTCCAGGTACATGTCTGAAGCTTGATCAAGCTGCCACTGCCCTTGAGCACTGATCTAAAGGTGCAAGCCCCACTGTTAGACCTACAAATCTTTAGATGTGCCTGGTCAGACCTGAGCCTTTTGTAGGTCCTGAGACACCAGAGTTCTGTGGTCATGTAAATGGTAAGAGCATTTGCAAGAAAAGCCTGTCAGGTTATTAATCTTTTAATCTCTGGAGGCTGGATAACTAAGATACCCTGCAAATACCTCAAAGAACAGCTTCCAAACATTACTGAAAACTATTTGCTTCTACCTCATCATCCTGCACTTGTTCAAATATGATCTGAGCAGGATGACACACACACTTAAAAATGAGATTAAACTCCCCTTAACAGCTAGATCCTATGTTCAAACCCAGAACTATGGTAGCACCCAAAAATCAGACACACCAGATGTGTCTTTAACTCCATACCAGACATGGACTAAGAACATACCCATGATGTCAAGGAAGTCTTCAGCCAAAACAATGGGGCCTCTGTCTATTGGCTTTCCTGATCCATTAAACACTCTGCCTACAAGAAACAGCAATAAAATAAAAACTTAAGTTACTGAAAATCAGTGTGTGATCAGTCTGTCCACTCCTCAAAGCAAGATGCCAGGACTTACCAAGCATGTCCTCAGAGACAGGGGTTCGCAGGATGTCCCCAGTAAACTCACAAGATGTTTTCTTAGCATCAATACCTGAAGTTCCTTCAAACACCTGCAAATACACCAGAAGGAAAAAACAAACAACAGAGGAAAGGAGTAAGTGTTGTGCTTTACAAAGTAACACACTAGAAAGCTGCTTCACAGCTTGAGAACTTGATCAGTCACAGGGCAGGAAAGCAAGGCAGCCCTCTGCAAGCAAAGGGCTTCAAGAGCAGCTCCTGAGCACAAAACATCACATGAAAACCTCCTTTAAACCAAAGTCATGAAGTGAATCAGCAGCAACCAACAAAGCCAGTGACTCTCATCTCTAGTACTTCCCTTTGCCAACAGGGTGAAGTTCTTCAGATATGAGGAACTAATATTAACAAGAAACAGCTGCTTAGAAAAAAAAATACTTGCAGCCACACTATACAGGAGCTGACCTGGAATCAATTATTACAGTACAATTAATCTAGCAGCAAAGAAATCTAGGGGAGATGCAGACAAAAAAAATGCCCTGTACTCGAGTACTAAAATTATTCATGCCACTTGCACATAGAGTAAGTAGGTAATATTTTAATTTATAGTACCAAAAGATCATGTCAGAAGACAGATCTGACACAGCTCAGACAGATGTGATGAATAAAATGTTTTTGTGTTGCAACAGGAGACCCTCCTGTCATACCTGAACCACAGCTTTGGAGCCACTGACTTCCAGCACCTGCCCACTTCTTCTTGTGCCATCAGGGAGAGTCAAGTGGACAATCTCTGCATATCGAGGAAACTGAAAGTGAGCAAAAAATGATGGTGGAAAACATTAAAATCCAGAAGGGCAGCCAGGAAACAAATGTTACCAGTTCTGAGCAAGCTTGAGCTTAACAAGTACTTTATTCTTAAAAATAATTTTATTGTGGGAACAAAACACATTCCAAGACAAATGCAACTGAAGAAGCTGAAGTCATTTTTACAGGGACTTGCTCAGTGTCAGGCTGCAGAAAGAGCTGGCAGCCCTTGTCCTGAACACCCCAGTGGTCCTGACAGACTCAGTCCCTGAAAGGAAGAACCAAAAGCTGCCCTTCGTGCATTGCACTGGCTGCTTCTCTTTATCAGGAACCTGCCAGCCTGTGAAAACATGAACTGTTTGTAGTTCCCTCTGGGGAAGCACTTAACTTGGGTAACAAAAAGGCCATTATCACAGTGGATAGGTTTGTTTCTGCATTCAAGTTTAGAAAACATCTGGGGGGCAGCTGGTGAAACTGAAACAGTGTTTCCTTTCTTTTCCCCAAAGTACTAACAACCCTCCCTTTCTCCAGGACCACCCTCTGCAGCTCCATGGCAGTTTGGGTTTCTCATTTATCTCAGCAGTCAGGAACACCTCTCATGGACCCAGGACTTGGAACAGTCTGGATTTCACCTTTTCTTGTACAATCTCCCTCAAAAAGTTCCATTCATTAAGGATCCGAGTTTTTACCTTCACTTGATCCAAGATCACCAGGGGACCATTCACACCCGAGACAGTTTTATAAGCTGAAAGAAAGAAAGCCACAAATCAGGGTATTCCTGATATTCCAAGAAAGTACCCCTCTTAAGTTTTCCAGAACTCAGTTTGCAGATTTTGGGCCCAGCTCTTTACCTCTTGTATATTTACCATGAACTCTACAAGAAGCATTAGGTCCTGAACTGTGGGGGCAACATTTTTTGCTGCTACTTGCAAAGCACCTGCAGTAACATGAAGATACAGGGTATTGCCCATTTCCTGCCTGTCCCAGAAGTTCACTGCAAGTCCATATCCAGGGATAATCTGTGTCACCAGAAACACCCACACCACTTAGAGCTGACATTTTAAGCTAAGAAAAAATGCACAGTTGCAAGGTCTTTCAAAAGCAGGAAAAACTATCTCTGTAACTTGTGATGAAGAAGGTTCCACTGCAATTTATGCCACCCAAAATGGTGAGATGACCTTAATATCCATACTCCTGGGCCGTTGGGGTTTTTTTTAACCATAGCAGTGTGCTGCCCCATGACACTGAACCAGCCCATGCAAAGCCTGGACTTGGCAAAACAAGTAGGTCCCTGGCTCAGAGCTGATCAAAGTTTCTACAGCAAGTTGTGTTTCTTGGCGCACTGCAAAGGGGCAACCTTGCAGTCCCTCCCTACCTCCCAAGAAAAGGTCAATGAACAATCTTGTAAAAGGCTGAATTTCAGTTTAACCAAACTCCTGCTCTGGGGTTATCCTGCTTCACCTGAAGGACTGACACCTGATAAGAGGGGCACAGCTTGCCAGCTCATCAGAAGGCTCATGTCTTAAACATCAGCAGCTCAAATACTAGCCCTCCATACAGCTTTTGAGTGCCCGGAATCTATCACTCTGTCATCAGCCCAGTGGGAAAGCTGTGAAAAGGCAGTGAACAGCTCTCAAGAGCCCTCCTGAGTTGCCTCAAGAACACAGCAGCAAACCAGCTAGAGCCCCTGATCCACAGCTAAAGGTGATGTTGAGTCAAAGTTTGATCAGAGTCACAAGGAGCAGCGACCAAGAGAGTGACTGTTAATCACTTATCCCTTGGGAGGGAAGAATGAGCAAGTGGAACCATTTGCAGAGCTGGAAAGTCACGAGCATCTCTCCCTGGTCACAGGCAGAAGGAACAGGCACTCATGGTACTGAAAGAAGTCACAAATGGAGACTCATCTGGCTCAGGCCCTTCAGCCTGCTCAGGTCTGGCACTCCCCACATCTTGTCTAGACTATCAACCAGGTGGTGTTTAGACCAAAAACAAGCCGTTTGAACTGTTGCAATGTAATCTCTTAACCAGCAACAATAAGAACTGTGTTAGATAAGACTTGAGGGCCACTGGGTGTATAAGATGGGGTACGTCTGGAATAGAACAGACTGGTGAAGGCTGGAAGGGACCTTAAAGATCATTGAGTTCCAACCCCCTGCATGGCCAGGGACATCTCCCACTAGACCAGGCTGCTCCAAGCCCCATCCAACCTGCCCTTGAACACCCCCAGGCAGGGGCATCCAAAACCTCCCTGGGAAACCTGTTCCAGCACCTTACTACCCTCATGGTGAATAATTTCTTCCCAATATCTAGCCTAAATGTCCCCCTCTCTTTCAGTTTAAAACCACTACCCCATGTCCTACCCCTACTACACTCAATGGTGAAAAGTTTCTCCTCATCTTTCACACAGGACTCCCAGTATCAGTTTTACTCCTGTCAAAAAACCTGCTTTTAAGGATTAAGAATGAAGACAGGACATGTGTCCCTGAATGAAAGCCAAAACCCAAGCTGGGCTGCTCCTTCCACCTGAGCAAGGAGAGTGACATGGACTCGATGCTACCAAGAGGACTCTGCTCAGACTGCAAGTGTTTGTAGCCCACTGTCCACAAGAAATGGAAAAGCTTATCCCAAGCAAAGCAATCCATCTCGTGACTGTCTCATGGGCATTTCCTCCTCCAGCAGCAGGCAGGGGCTCACAGTCCTTGCTGTGTCCATGAGAAAATATTTCCTGGCCCTTCAATCAGCATCAATTCCCCCTTGATCGCAGGGGAAATTCCTCTAAATTCCTGTTTCCACTAAGACCAACTAGTTTCATGGCAAATCAAAAGCAAATGAAGTATATATTTTTTTCATATCCAGCTGACATGTCAGTTTGGGCAAAGAGCCACAATCAACACGGGAAAACCATGAGTTGAAGAAGTCACCTTGGCTCCAATCTTGGCTGAAGCCTCCAGAGCAAAGCAGAGCAGCAGAGCTGGGGGGGCAGGGGTTGTCATGATGGGTTTGCCTTTCAAACCAGTGACTTGGTCAAAGAAACCATCCCAGAGAAGGTCCCTGGCTACCATCTTGCAAGCACTCCCTTTTCTGAGCTCTACAGGTACAGTGGCTCCTCTAATGACTACCTGGACCAAAACAAAGGCCAGAAATCATTCACTTCCAAACCACTCTGACTCCCCCTGCTACCGCAACGAAGGGGTTTTCACAAGGCTGCTGCATTTCCCCTTTCTCGTCAGATTTCTCAACCTCATCTTCAAGGAACAGCACCCACCCCGCTCCTCGCAGCCCACAGGAATCCTCATCTCCTGCTAAAAACCCTTTTCACACCAACGACACCACAAGGGGCCGCGTCCCCCCAGGCAGGGGCACCAGGCCCAGGGCGCCCAGACGGGAGTGCTGAAAGAAAAGGTGCTGAAAAGGACCTGCTGTGCTTCAAACCCTGAAACCCTCGGCCCTCCAGGAGCCCTGAGGAGAGCGCCGGAGCCCGGGGAGCACCGGATTTACCTCAGGAAACACCGGTTTTACCTCAGAAAACACCGGTTTTACCTCAGGGAGCAGCAGGGGCCCACCCGCTGAGACTCCCCCCCCAGGTCTACCCCGGAGGAGCCGCCCCGGGTGGGGGGGGAGAAATGGGGGGAAATGGGGAAAAAAAGGGGGAAAACGGGGAAACGAGGGAGGGGAGGAGAGAAGGGGATCGACAGTGAAATAGAAAATCAGCCCGGAAAATGAAAGGCAGTGAAAACCGATAAAACCTGAAATAGGAAATACAATAAAATAGAATAAAATTTAATAAAATAGAATAAAATTTAATAAAATAGAATAAAATTTAATAAAATAGAATAAAATTTAATAAAATAGAATAAAATTTAATAAAATAGAATAAAATATAAAATAAAAACTAAAGTAAACTTAACTAAACTAAAACCAATAAAACCCAATAACAACTGAAATAAAAAATAAAATAAAAAACAAATAAAAAATACACTTAACTAAACTAAAATTAAACCAATAAAAAACAATAACAACAGAAATAAAAAGAATAAAATAAAAAATAGACCAAACCAAACAAAAATAAACCAATAAAAACCAATAACAACTGAAATAAATAAAATAAAAACTAAACTAAAATAAACCAAATAAACAAAATAAAAACTAAACTAAACTTAACTCAACTAAAATAAATAAAATAAAACCGATGAAACAATAAAAACTAGTAAAAACCAATAACAACTGAAATAAAATAAAAACTAAACTAAAAGAAAACCAATAAAACCTAAACTTAACTAAACTAAAATAAATTTAAAACAATAAAAACTGATATAAATAAAATAAAAACTAAAATAAAATAAAACCAATACAAACTAAACAAAATAAACTCAAAAACAATTAAAAAATAAAACCCAATAAAAAAATAAAAAATAAAATAAATAAAATAAAGTAAAACAAGTAAAATAAAGTAAAATTAAGTAAAACAAAATTAAATGATGAAATGAAATGATGAAATGAAATAATTAAATGAAATTATAAAAAGGAAGATAAATTTTTTAAAAATATTTTAAAAAACAAACAAACAAGGAGAAAAGAGGAGAGAAAAAAGAGAGAAGAAAGAAGAGGGAAGAGAGAGGAGTCAAAAGGACTTAAAATACCACCCAGCAGAGCTGTCCCAAGGGTTCCTTCAACCTGCTCTGGGCACGTGAACTCCAGTTTGCCCAACACAGACCATTTAGAATCCTAGAACCCCAGACTGGTTTGGGTGGGAAGGGAGCTGGAAGCTCATCCAGCTCCAACCCCCGGCACGGGCAGGGACACCTCCCACCAGCCCAGGCTGCTCCACAAAGTTCCCCCCTCAACAATCTCCACCAACACCACATCCAAAGGACCCTTCATCACACCCAGGGATGTGACTCCCCCACCTCCCTGGGCAGCCTGTCCCAGTCTCCAACCACTCTTGCTGTGAAGAAGTTTTCCCTCATGTCCAGTCTGACCCTGCCCTGGTGCAGCTTGAAGCTCTTCCCTCCTGTTCTGTCTCTAATGACCTGTGAGAAGAGACCAGCACCAACCTCTGCAATGACCTCTCAGGTAGTTGGTGAGACTGATGAGCTCTCCCCTCAGCCTCCTCTTCCTCACACTAAACATCCCCAGCTCCTTCAAGCCTTCTCCATCAGATTGATTCCCTTCCCCAGCTTCGTTGCCTCCTCTGTCCTGGCTCCAGCACCTCAAGATCTCTTTGGGATTGAGATGCCCCAAACTGGACACAACACTCCAGGTGTGGCCCCACCAGTGCTGAGCACAGGGGGACAATCACCTCTCTGCTCCTGCTGGTCCCACCACTTCTAATCTCTCTAATAGCCTATCTCAGGATGCCATGGGCTCTCCTGGCCACCTGGGCACACACTGGCCAGACATCCCAGAACTGCAAATTAGAGCTTCACTCGATTTTAGCACCTCAGTTCCAGGGAGGAAATGGTGGTCTTTGATTTTTCTTTCCATGGGGTTGAGAGGAAAAGTCATGGCAAACAGCTACAATGGTTAAAACAAATAACCCAGCATATCTCGAAAAGAACTGACTGGAAAAATATGATGGACATGTGGAAAATGCCTCCAAGACTTATCTGAGTAAGCTTTCCCAGCCTGGAGAACAAGGGACATGGCACGGTCACCTCCTTCAGCTGCTCAGGGCTGAGATGGTGCCCTGACCTGGGGGCCTGGGAAAGGAGAAGGAGAAGGAGAGGGAGGAGAAGGAGGAGGAGAAAGAGAAAGAGAAAGAGAAAGAGAAAGAGAAAGAGAAAGAGAAAGAGAAAGAGAAAGAGAAAGAGAAAGAGAAAGAGAAAGAGAAAGAGAAAGAGAAAGAGAAAGAGAAAGAGAAAGAGAAAGAGAAAGAGAAAGAGAAAGAGAAAAAGGAGGAGGAGGAGGAGAAGAAGGAAAAGGAGAAGAAGGAGGAGGAGGAGGAGGAGGAGAAGGAGGAGAAAGAGGAGAAGAAGGAGGAGAAGGAGAAGGAGAAAGAAGGAGAAGAAGAAAAAGAAGAAGAAGGAGGAGAAAGAGAAGGAGAAGGAGAAAGAAGGAGAAGGAGGATAAAAGAAAAGGGAAAGGGAAATAGAGAGAAAGAGAAGAAAAAAAAATCATAATCAAAATCATGACTGTCTCCCCGTGCCCCTCCTCACCTGAAAAAGGCTGAGCCCTTCCCCCAGGTGCAGCTGAGCAGTTCTGAGCTCCCTCAGCAGATGGTGGTGCTGCACTGCTCATCCTCTGCTGCTCACTGGGTGTTAGGAAGTCATTGCCAGGCCGAGCCGCTCCATTCTCATACCATTCTCATAGTTAAAGGCTTCAACTTCTGCTCTAACGCACACCCAGGGAGTTCCTAGGAAGGACGTTCTCATCTCACCTTATTTGCAATACTTTTTGGCCATGCAGGAGCCAGATAAATGGCCTCGTTGGCAGATTTATGTGCCAAGAGGAAAAAAAGATTAATATGTCTGGGATTTATTTCCTCTCCCTGCAGTAAATCTCTGTATCCTGAATGAATGATGGTGTTAGTTTTGGTTGAAAAAAGAAATCACGGAGCAAAGTGTCAAAAGTTCAAGAAAACAGAGGTGATGGAAGAAAAGAGATCACGTTTTCAGGGGCATTTCCAGCACCTCAGCCACACATGGACAAAATTTTACATCCAGCTTTGCTTCTGGGAGAGCCAGCCTTGTTAGTCCAAGAGTCTGTGTCCCTGGAGGGACAGTGGAACAGCCCAGGGAAAGGCTCTGGATGGGCACCCCCTGCCTGCACCTTCTGTGGAGGGGAGGAAAGAGCAGAACATCAGATGGGGAGGGATCACAACTGTTCAGACCTGTGGGTACCCAGGGGAGAGGTGAGATGCCCCCCGTGTCCCTCAGAAACCACGGCCAGGAGCAGAGTGTTCAGGCCTTAAAAATCTTTCCATCCACTAGGAACACTCCTCATCAGTGCACTGACCATTTTGGGGAAATCCTGGAAATGTTGGAGTTAACCATAAATCCCCCGGGTGCTGCAGGGCTCCTTGGGGAAACCTGCCTGGTTTTACCCCGGGGTGAGTGAGGTGGAGGCACAGCTGGAACGAGGGCAGATGTTCCAAGGACAGGCAGCAAAGGAACAGCCACCAGTCACTGGAGAGGAGTCCAAGACCTCAGCTATAATGTATTTTACAAAGGCATCTCCCAGGGGCATTTCCTGATGCCAGCCCTGCCTCCCTGTGACAAAGGGAGGGCTGTACAGTCCCAGGGCAGCACCTTCCTGTGCTCAGACCCAGGCAAGAGTTAAGGTAGAGAGAGATAAGGGTTGATGAAAGACTGGAGAGGAGAGAGCAGGTGCCTCATCTGCAGATAAACACTCTGCCTGTCCCCTCGTGCCCCCCCAGCCCACCCCACCACCCGGCTCTGACGCAGAAGGAGCTGCAGGGCTGGATGGAACTTGTTTGAGGTTCCAATTAAATCTCCATGGAAGAGGGACACTCATATCCTCTCTCCTGATAAAAGGCACCCATAAATCCCCCGGGACCAGCAGCTGCAGAGCACAGCACCAAGATGGGCTCCAGGGTAAGAGCTGCTTTTCCTCTGCTCCAAGCAACAGGGTTTGCACTGGGAAGGGGACAGAGTTTGTGGGTTGAGACCTAAGGTTTGCATTGCTCCATGTGTCTTTATTGTCTGTGCTTCCTTACTAGTTCTTTCTCTATGGATTAACTTTTATATATCTATCTCTATATTTATATCTTGCATTAATTCTGTCACAGCACCACAGGAAGGTGTTTATTTGGTCTTTACCAGCACTTGAAGGTGCAGGGAGAGACCAGCCCTGTTTCCCAGCTTCAGGTCTCGTGTGCCACGATAGAGGGTTTGCAGCATTTGCTTCATTTTACTAAAAATGGATAAATATCATTGCTGGGGATCTCAGGAAGCCACAGGATTACTGGGAAGAGCAGTAGTTCAGACTCAGCTCCATCCTTTTTGCCACTTAGTCTCTGAAGTGCTGAAGAGCCACAAGGACATGAATGGCTGATTGTCTGGTTGGCTTTAGTGCAGGTTTCTGATTGATATTTCCAGTGTGACAGAGCAAACAACCTCCTCTCAGTCCCTCTGAAGCTCTGATTTTAATCACATATGTTGGGCTTTTAAGCCCTGTATCTTGCCATGACATTTCAATTAGGTCAAATGAAAAGGCATGTGAGGTAAATGAATTTCCTTTGAGAAGGAACTTAATCTCCAAAGAGCAAACATGGAATAAAAGACGTTGAGATTACCAGAGATAAGGTGCTGGTTTGATCTGTGCTTTGAGTCTTTGGAGTAAGGCTTAAATGATGCCTTGAAGCAGGTACAAGATGTCTCAGGAGAGTGGAAATGGGTTAGAGAACATTCCATCTGCAATTCTTAATGCAAGCTTGAGAACATCATGGTCTTTGATGGCAAAGCTGGTGGTCTCAGCTCCCAGAGAAGAACACCCAGCTCTTGGAGGACACAGACACCGAGTGACCTCAGGAGCTGCCGTCTCAAGGGAGCAGCTGTGGGACATTTTAACCTGGAGTGCTTTCTTTAAAGGCTGTGGGGAACCTCCAGCCCTGAAGAGAAGGAGCCAGCAGGAGCTGGGGTGCCAGGCTGTGGCCATGCCCTGGGGCTGGGGCTGGCTGGCAGCGGGCAGGGCAGCGCGGGGACTGGTGCTGCTGGTGGTCTTCGTGGCCCTGCTGCTGGACAACATGCTGCTGACAGTCGTGGGTATGGTCTGGGGGGCTCTGCTCCCCAGGGACACACCTCTGGGGGGGCAGCTCCTTGCTCAGGCTCTGGGAGATGCTGGTGGGGTCCTTGTGTGGGGAGAGCCCTGGGGAGGGCTGGGTGCTGGCAGGACCCCCCCCCATTCAGCCAGCACCCTTCAGTGCAGCTGCCTGCTGAGCCAGATAATAGAGTCAGATCAACTAACCAAGCCCTCCCCTGCTTCTCTTCCAGTTCCCATCATCCCCACCTTCCTTTACACAACAGAGTATGAAGGTGTCAACAGCTCTGTTGCTGCAGCCTGGACCGAACCAGCTCCTCCAGCCTGGGAGGCTCCTTCTTTCTCTTCCACTTTCTCTTTTGACAACACCACGGTGACTCTGGACTTGGTGAACAGGACGGGGAGCAGCCGATTTCCACAGCCCTCAACCAGCAACCCACCCACCCCCAGCAGCTGCCTGCAGGGTGAGCAGTTCCTCGTCGAGGAGAACATCCGTGTGGGGCTGCTCTTTGCCTCCAAGGCTCTCCTACAGCTGGTGGTCAACCCATCCGTGGGTCTCCTGACCAACAGGTAGGTCAAAGAGCTGGGTTGGTACCAGGGTGTAGCCTTTCAGGGACAGGCAGCTCCTGCCTGCTGATGAAATCCCCGTGGGTTGAGCTGTGAAGGTCTGTGCTGCTTGTGCAGCCCCTGCAACCACAGAGCCACGAGAACTGGTGGGTAAAATCCCCAGGGGGAGGACACGTGCATCACAATAAGCACAGATTTTACCTTTTCTAAAAGCCTACAAATGGCTTGCAAGTTTATATGACAACACAAGCCTTACCAACACCCTCCTGAGGTACAAACAGATGCTATTTAACACCAGAAACCATCACACAAAGATTCCCACCTCACTGTGGACATCATGTTCTTGTTCAGATTTTCTGCCCCTTTGCAGTTCTCCTGGGTGCACTTAGGCACTGGATGCTCCCCAGATGTTCACCAGCCCACAGAGACCTGTGGTAAGGTTGGGCAGCAAGACCAGATCTCACCCAAGAACAAGGAATTCTCCCTGAAATAGTGTCCCTTGTTTCCCTTTCCAGGATAGGATTCCACATCCCCATGTTCATCGGGTTCATCATCATGTTCCTCTCCACAGTCAGTGAGTATTTTCCTCCAGGCTGCCCTTCACACCCAGCAGCACAGGAGAAAACCCTTCTGTCTGTGCCTGCACAGCTGTCCTGCTGCAGGAGGAGGGAGAGCAGAGGAACAAGCCTCAGAAACCTGGGACAGGAAAGGACCAGCAGCACCCAGCACCCTCCAGCACCCAAACTGGTGCACGCTGAGGCTGCTGTCACCCTCTGCAAGGTACCACCTGACACCACCTCTCTCCTTCCTCCACAGTGTTTGCTTTTTCAGGCACCTACACTTTGCTGCTCCTTGCCCGAGCCCTGCAAGGCATCGGCTCGTCCTTCTCTTCAGTGGCAGGTAAAGGTTGTGGTTCCACCACCCCCTCCCACATGAGCCCCCCTTGCCTGGGCTCAATCAGCATCTCAGGAAGCAGCAGCAGCATGGGCAGGCTGGGGCCTTCAGACAGCACTCCCAGCCAGCAGATAAATCCCCCCCCCTCCAAAGCCCCGGCTGCCTCAGAGAGGAGCCCCACCAAGGAGGCACCAGGTGGGGCTCAGGTGGCCTCTCTGCCCTCCCTCTGCTCCAGGCCTGGGCTTGCTGGCCAGTGTCTACACCGACGACGTGGAGAGGGGCAACGCAATGGGGATCGCCCTGGGAGGCCTGGCCTTGGGTGTGCTGAGTAAGGAGACCTCCCTCCCAAGGGGGCTGACACCAACAGCATCTCTGCTGGCCATCCCCTGTGGCTCCCACCCACCTGGCTGTGCCCCTGCCCAGCATCATCCCACTGGCAGGGCTGGCCTGGCCTCCTGCCTCCCTCTGCCCACGGGACCCTCCACCTTCCCCCAACACACACCAGGGGTTTGGAGCAAAGCAGGGGGGCAGGAGCTGAGCGTGGGGCTGGTGACCCTGCCCTGGTGTGACACAGCCACTCCTTCCAGTCGGGGCCCCCTTTGGGAGTGTGATGTACGAGTTCGTGGGGAAATCGGCTCCTTTCCTGGTCCTGGCGTCTCTCGCCCTCTTGGATGGAGGTGAGAAGAAGCCAAATAACTTAATCCAACCCCACCCCCAAAAAACCCCACAAAACAACAAAAAAGCTGTAAATGCAGAAGTTTTGGGAGGGCATCTCAGAGGGCTCGTGTGAAGGAAGAGGCAGATGAACATGACACAGGTAACACCCTCAGCACTGGTTATTCTCTTACTGCTAAGCCCCATTTTCTGCCACCTGATGATTGACACAGCAATGCAGCCAGAATTAGTCCCTCATTACTTAATAAACCCCTTGGTTTATGAAGCTCTTGGAACAGGGAATTCTTCCCACCAGGCAGAGCCTCCTCCCTGTGCCACAAGGGAATTTGGCTGTGCCAGCACGGAGGGTGCTCCTTGTTCTTTCTCCACAAGCTGTGTTACAGGTGCTGGACCCAAGAGCCCTCAGGGTTCCAACAGCAAAGTTACAGAGAGCAGAAATGTGCTTTTTTTTTTTACTTGGAAGAATTAAGCTGATTTAATTATAGTCACAGTTGCCATCTTTGCCTAGATGTAATGCAAGGCACCTCTAATGAAGCACATAAGAGCTTCTGGAAAATGAAACGTAGGTTCCAGACACCTGAAACTTCCTTTTTTAGTTCTGTTACTCTGTTCCCACATCTCACCCCTGTCATGCCCTGGTTGTGGGTCCCCAGCAGGCAGCAAGATGGGGAGCATCTGGGTATCTGGCTGCTTTGTGGGCTGACAAAACACTCCTCACCCAGTTCACCCCAGGGAGTGTTGCTGCTCCCGCCCCAGGGACAGGGCTGGGACCCTCCTCTCCCTCTGCCCACTTGAGCCACGTCCCCAGGTGCAGCTCCTGCATCCCCAGGGGCTCTGCTGGTAGCAGGGGTCGTGCCAAAGGAAAAGCCAGAGGGAAACAAATGCAGGTTAGATGGGGTGAAGCTGTCTGGGGCAGTCAGCTAACACCAGTGTTCCCTTCCAGCCTTGCAGCTCTGCATCCTGCAGCCCTCTAGGATCTCCCCGGAGGTGAGTGCAGAGGTGTGGGCACAGGGCAGTGGGTGCCAGGCAGTGGGTGCTGCCCAGGGAGCAGGGCAGGCACCCAGCTGGGCAGTGGAGCAAGTGCACAAGTGTCTCTTGGCTGATCTAACCCCCTTTGCCACCCCACAGAGCACCCAGGGGACACCACTGTCCACCCTCCTGCGTGACCCCTACATCCTGGTGGCTGCAGGTAAATGCTCCTCTGTGCACCCAACACCTCCTGGTTGAAGAGGTTTCCTCCTGCCTTGCCTGAAACAGCAGCAGGAGGTGGGTAAAACAGAACCTTCCTCCCTTTCCCCCCATCAGGAGCCCTCTGCTTCTCCAACATGGGGGTGGCCATGCTGGAGCCCACCTTGCCCATCTGGATGATGCAAACCATGTGCTCCCCAAAGTGGCAGCTGGGTGAGTCTTGTGCTCTGCAGTTCAGCTGCAACCAGCCCCCTGGGATGGGCTGGGTGATCCTACATCCCTCCAAAAATAAAAGCAGAGAACATCTACCCCCACCCCACAGAGCAAGTGATCCCAGGCTGCCTGTTGCTCCAATTCCAGCTGGAAGCTGTAGTTACACATGGTGCTTTTCTCTGTGATGGGAAAAATGGTACAGAATCAGCATCCCCACAGGAACAATAAGGGAGGAAGGAAAGGCTGTTTGGTGCACGGGAAGCCTGTTGAATCTCTTCTTCTGCAGGGCAGAGAATGGTTTTGTGCTGGGCTGGAATTGTGGCAGCCAGGTGGGTTTTGCAGAGGCAGCTCCAGGTAAAACAAGGTCATTGAGAGAGTCCCAGGCAGGACAGGATAGTACATGCTAATTACCAGCTGCCTGGAAAAGGGGAGATGGAGATAACGTTGGCTGTGTTTGCTACAAAGGTACAAAGTAATTGGTATAAAACCCAGTTGGCTGAGGAATGACCTGGAGAGCTGCCCCAGGCTGCACTTAGAGCCCAAATTGAATTGCAGGCTGGGAGCAGGAGGGCTGAGAGGGCTCCTAATCCAGTTATCCCCTGGTCAGGCAGGAGCATCCATCCTGATAAGAGCCTTGGGTGCTTCTCAGGAGCAAGGGATTGAGCAAGGGAGGGCGAGGGTAGAGCAGAGCCCCAGGGGCTCTGGCAGGGGGGAGAGGGGGCAGTGTAGCTACTTGGTGACCATGAATGTCCCAAGGGGAGGAGAGCAATTGGAGCTGCCCCTGTCAGCACTGAGCTCCAAGGGAACCTTGGAGGCAACTCAGCAGGATCCAGAGGTCAGCAGGCATGAAAGAAAATCCTAAATATGCTCACTAGGTGTTCCCATACCTGAGATTTGAGAGCAGGCTGGGTTTGGACCCAGCCCAGCTGCAAGCCACCTGCCTCACAAGCTACCACAAACTCAAGAGCCTTCTTGATTCGTGTGCTCTGGTTTGCCCACTCCCATAATTCTAGCATAACAACTCCAGAAGCCCTTGGGCTAAACCTGCAGGATTAACCACACTCTGTGGCTGTTAAAGAGGGGAGAGAAAATTAAACACCCATCAGTGTGTTTCAATAAGGAAGTTGTCTCAGTGAAATGGAGCTGCTCAGTTTTATTTAGAGTTGGCAGGAGAGTATATTAAAAATAAACAACTGGTAAATCAGCAAACAGTGCAAATATTTGACTGCATAATGATCCCCAAGCTTTCTACTCAAGCAGCTGTTTTATTCCTTGATTTAATAAGTGAAAAGCAGAAGGCAAGGGGGGAAAGGTGGGGGAGACAGAAGGATGAGCTTCTCAAAGCAGCGGGGACAAAACATCCTGCATTTGGCTTCTGGTGACCTCACAGATCTCGTGGGTGAAGCCCTGCTTCTCACGTGCCTCAGTTTCCCCCCTCCCCATCAAAAGCAAACATTTTCTCTGCCTCCATCTGCCCCCCATCCTCCTCAGGCATGAGGAAGGTCAGCTTGCTGTGCCTGGCTCAGGATAATCCCCCACAGGAGAGGGGCAGTGAGTGGAGGGAGCATTTCCTACAGTTTCCTTGGGGATGACCCACTCCTTTTCATCCTCTCCCCTCCCCAGGGATGGCATTACTGCCTGCCAGTGTGTCCTACCTCATTGGCACCAACCTCTTTGGGATTCTGGCCACCAAAATGGGCCGGTGAGTGGGAAGATCAAGAGATTTCAGCCCAGCTCAGTCCTGAGCTTTCAGCATGAATGATGATGGGGGGGGGAGTGGGTGCACACTGGGAACTTCTGCCTTCTCCTCCCTGCAGGTGGCTGTGCTCCCTGGTCGGGATGGTTGTGGTGGGAACCAGCCTGCTTTGTGTAAGTAGCAGCCAGGGGGTGAGGTGGCTGCTCAGTGGCTGCACGTGGGTTTGGGTGTCACAGACCTACAGCCCTGCACCCTCAGCAAGCTCCCCTGGCCTCACCCCTGTGTCCTCTCTCTGTCTCTCTGTCCTCTCAAAGGTACCTCTGGCCAAAAACATTTACGGGCTGATTGGCCCAAATGGGCTGCTTGGCTTTGCCATAGGTAAGTTGTGGGTGCTGGGGGGTGACACAGCTCCCAGGCAGCTTCACTGCTGCCCTCGGAGGTGATGGCTGAGCAGGTCCCTCTTGCTTTGGGCAGGAATGGTGGATTCCTCCATGATGCCCCTGCTGGGTCAGCTGGTGGACCTTCGCCACACCTCCATCTACGGCAACGTCTACGCCATTGCTGACGTGGCCTTCTGCTTGGGCTTTGCCATTGGTATGGAGGAGCTTCTGCTCCAGCCCTGTGCCCAGCTCTGCAGCCCTCCACACCCAGAGGACATGGAGCTGCTGGAAAGAGTCCAGAGAAGGGCCACAAAAATGATCTGGAGCAGCTCTGGCTCTGGAGAAAGGCTGGGAGAGTTGGGGTGTCCAGCCTGGAGAAGAGAAGGCTCCAAGGAGACCTTAGAGCAGCTTCCAGTGCCTGAAGGGGCTCCAGGAAAGCTGGGGAGGAGCTGTTTGCAAGAGTCTGTAGTGACAGGACAAGGGGGAATAGTCTAAAACCAGAGCAGGGTGGATTTAATCAGACATTAGGAAGAAGTTCTTCACAATGAGGGGGGTGAAGCTCTGGAACTGGTTGCCCAGAGAGGTGGTGGAGGCCCCATCCCTGGAAACATTCAAGGTCAGGCTTGACAAGGCTCTGAACAACCTGATCTAGATAAAAAGGTCCCTGTGCACTGCAGGGGGCTGGACTAGATGTTCTTTGAAGGTCCCTTCCAAGCCCACACATTCTATGATATTCTTGAGATACTCAGAGTGTATCTCACTCCCTCTCCTGCTCACCCCAGGCATCCGGCACAGAGTCTGCAACCACAGATGCACAGAGCCACTCCCAAATGAACAGGCACCTTCTGCTCCCTCCCACCTTGACCTTTTTTACCGTTGCCATCCTCAGGGCCATCCACAGGAGGTGCCATTGTCCGAGCCATCGGGTTCCCCTGGCTGATGATCATCATTGGAGTCACCAACATCGCCTACGCGCCACTCTGCTGGCACCTGCGCAGCCCTCCTGCTAAAGAGGAGAAGATTGTGAGTTCCAGGACACTGTCTTTGCTTCAAATAGAGGGATGGATAATCCAGAGGTCTGGGGGAAGAGAAGAACAAATTTGCCAGGGGTTGTGTCTCCCCTGTCAGGCTCTACTCTGCCTTCAAAAACGGGACAAAAAAACCCTCAGGCGATAAAACCAGAGACACTTAAGAGCTGTGATCCCTCCCTGAACTCACAGCTTGTGCTCCCAGTTGTTGGCTGCTTTGGCTTTCTCTAAAACTGCCTCTTCATTGTTGCTAAAACCTGGTTTCTCCTCCCCTTCTCCCCAGGCAATCCTCAGCCAGGAGTGCCCCTTGCAAACCCAAACCTGCGCCCCTCAGAAACCGCGGCGCCGTTTCCCTCCCACCGACGTGGAGGCAGAAGAGGTGGAATAGCAGGAGCAAGGGCTGGTTTGAAGCTGCCAAGCAGCTCACAGAAGATGGATGTAGGAGCACCCGAGAGTAACTCAGCCTCCCCCCAAGGCCTGGGGACACAGGGGGTGTCCCTGACCTCTCACAGCAGGGAGCAGAGACCCAGGATTCGCAGGCTCTGTCCCTTTAGTTGCTGTGTGACGTCCAAGTGACTTCCCCAAACTCACCACAGCTCATCTGTAAAAAAAAAACAAAAACAAACCAAAACCGAAAAGTTAGGGAGCTGAGGAGCTCATACAAACCTCCAATATTGTCTTGGGCACAGCCTGCCCAGGGATATCAACACCTCCCCAAAATAAAAACCAGTTTTGGCCTCGGCCAACAAAGCTCGTCAGGTCTCTTGAGATAATAAAGTGACTAGGAGGGTATTTTTAGAAATCCCTGCCCCTCACCTGGGATGGGGGACTGGGCTGTGTTTGTGCTCCTAACCCAGCACCACCTGAGGTACCATAAATGTATTTAATTGTCCTTTTGCAATTTCCTGGCCACAAGTTCAGAAAGGGAACAGCTGCCCTCTTAGCAATAATTATTGAGTATAATGGTCTGTGAAAGCAGGGGAGAGTTGTAAAGAAAGTGAAGTAATAGAGGCACCAAATTAATTGTCTAAGTGAAAAGAGATCAGGCTGGGAGAGTTGGGGTGTTGAGCCTGGAGAAGAGAAGGCTCCAGGGAGACCTGAGAGCAGCTTCCAGTGCCTGAAGGGGCTCCAGGAAAGCTGGGGAGGGGCTTGGGACAAGGGCAGGGAGGGATGGGATGAGGGGGATGGATGAAACCTGGGAGAGGGAGGGAGGTTGGAGCTGAGGAGGGAATTCTTTGGTGTGAGGGTGGTGAGAGCCTGGCCCAGGTTGCCCAGGGAAGCTGTGGCTGCCCCATCCCTGGGGGTGTTGAAGGGCAGGTTGGATGGGGCTTGGAGCAGCCTGGGCTGGTGGGAGGTGTCCCTGCCCATGCAGGGGGTTGGATCTGGATGAGCTTTCAGGTCCCTTCCCACCCAAAGCAGCCCGGGATTCTACGGTACCAGCCGGGGGGCTGCTCGGGGGCCTGATGAGCACCCCGCGGCCGCTCCCTCTCGGTGCGTCAAGCAAGAACCAGCCCGGCCCCGCCCCCGGAGTGCACCCCCTGCTGGGGACCCCCTCAGTGTCCCCCCAGCTCTGAGCACCCCCCTGCTGGGGATCCCCTCAGTGTCCCCCCAGCTCTGAGCATCCCCCTGCTGGGGACCCCCTCAGTGTCCCCCCAGCTCTGAGCACCCCCCTGCTGGGGATCCCCTCAGTGTCCCCCCAGCTCTGAGCATCCCCCTGCTGGGGACCCCCTCAGTGTCCCCCCAGCTCTGAGCACCCCCCTGCTGGGGATCCCCTCAGTGTCCCCCCAGCTCTGAGCATCCCCCTGCTGGGGACCCCCTCAGTGTCCCCCCAGCTCTGAGCACCCCCCTGCTGGGGATCCCCTCAGTGTCCCCCCAGCTCTGAGCATCCCCCTGCTGGGGACCCCCTCAGTGTCCCCCCAGCTCTGAGCACCCCCCTGCTGGGGATCCCCTCAGTGTCCCCCCAGCTCTGAGCATCCCCCTGCTGGGGACCCCCTCAGTGTCCCCCCAGCTCTGAGCACCCCCCTGCTGGGGATCCCCTCAGTGTCCCCCCAGCTCTGAGCATCCCCCTGCTGGGGACCCCCTCAGTGTCCCCCCAGCTCTGAGCACCCCCCTGCTGGGGATCCCCTCAGTGTCCCCCCAGCTCTGAGCATCCCCCTGCTGGGGACCCCCTCAGTGTCCCCCCAGCTCTGAGCACCCCCCTGCTGGGGATCCCCTCAGTGTCCCCCCAGCTCTGAGCATCCCCCTGCTGGGGACCCCCTCAGTGTCCCCCCAGCTCTGAGCACCCCCCTGCTGGGGATCCCCTCAGTGTCCCCCCAGCTCTGAGCATCCCCCTGCTGGGGACCCCCTCAGTGTCCCCCCAGCTCTGAGCATCCCCCTGCTGGGGACCCCCTCAGTGTCCCCCCAGCTCTGAGCACCTTCCTGCTGGGGACCCCCTCAGTGTCCCCCCAGCTCTGAGCACCCCCCCTGCTGGGGACCCCCTCAGTGTCCCCACAGCTCTGAGCACTCCCCTGCTGGGAACCCCCTCAGTGTCCCCCCAGCTCTGGGGACAGGCTCAGTGTCCCCCCAGCTCTGGGCACCCCAGCACTGTCCCCCCAGCTCTGGGGGCCCCCTCAGCCCTGCCCTGTCCCCCCAGGCCGCTGTTACCTCTACATGAAGACCATCGAGCGAGCAGCCTTTCCCCGCCGGCTCTGGGAGCGGGTGAGTGAGCAGGACCTGACCCAGAGGCAGGGAGAAACAAGGATCCCTCCCTCCCCTCTAGGCATGGAACATCCCCCTCCCCTT